TATGAACGCCTTTTGGCTGAAGTGTCAAATCCACCAAGACCAGAAAGAACACGATCATATGCTTTGCTCAGAACAGCACTACAGAGCAAACTCGGAATGCACAAGGGGCATGGTATTAACTATCCTTTGAAGCACAGCAGGTCACCCTCAGCGTGGTAATGCTTCACCTTTTAGTTATCCTGGATTTTGGCAACATTAACGAATGCATGGATGCCAACAGCGTGAGACTCACACAATGCCGATAAAACATGAATCGCCAAACACAGCAACGGTGTTGCTGTGTTTGGGTGAGCTAGGGCATCGCGAAAGCGCGTCAGCGCCCTCGTTGGTAGTCTCCAGAATATGCCCCACAGGAATACGTACTATAGGAGGCGCCACAGACAGTGAACCAGTATAGGCTTATCAAAGCCCTGAAGACTCTTTGTGATATAGATTCAAGACAAATGGTTGGTCTGGAGGGTAAAATAAGGCATGCTTAAACAGTGCCGGCATTTTTCACGGGCCATCAGGCTGCGATTGCGGTTCTTTCCTCGCATTGAACACCGCTACTTAGTTTAGGTTAAGTGACAAGGCTAACAACCAATATTCTCGCTTTGGAAACAACCTGTTAGCTGTTAGGATAAAATAAATTTTAATCAAAACCACACTCCACTGCTTTCCCCGCAGCAGCTGAAGCGCACGCCATAGGCGTTGCAGGCGCTTTTTAACGCTTCGGCTAGGTACTTAGACGTTGTCCAGGAGGACAGGCATTCATTCCTCCTTGACAGGCTCATAAAAATTATAATCAATGTGCCGTTACAATTCAGATTCGGCATTTACAAGTCTAAATGTAGCACAGTTGCGTTTGCGAATGCACATGTGGAAAGCCGTTTTGTGCCTGTCCTCACTGTGAACTAGGAGTCTTTTTAACAAAGCGGCTGTGAAATCAAACGTGGATTGGACTGCTGATCCATGTAATTGGTCGAGACGCTCCTTGATAGGTGTCGTATACTTGTGCTTTGTAGTATTCTTGCTCAGGGACTAAAAGCTAACACATATTGGTCATCTTTCGTCCTTTTTCTGCACCAACACCGGGTCATGCCCAAAGCCGCTGGCCGCTTCCTGCACTTTGCATTTTCTCAACATTCCTCTCATCTGCCTCTCAGTCTCCCTTAATTTCCTGTGCCGGGGAACAGAGCTTGGGGCTAACCCAGGGATTAGCTCATTGTGGTGCGCTGGACGATCAGCAGGTGCCCAGCCTGCTGGCAGCTAGTCATCATTTCGCACAACCGCGAGTTCCTCCATTAAAATTGCCCATTACTGCTATTTTTCGACTGAATATTTGACCGAATTCTTGAACACTGAGCCAGGCACAGAGCCAGGAAGACGGTATGCATGCCCAAGATTGTCTTCCCTTATTGCAGGTGCTGAGCCACCTGAAGCTATGCTGTGCCTCACACTGATTGTGCATTAGTTGTACCATGCCCACCACAAATGGGCTGAACGCTCTTGTGGAGGCCAATAGCTTTGCTTTTTCAGCACTTCACAGCACTCCGGCTTCCCCGGCGCGCCACTGTGGCCGCATGTGCTCTTTCCATTCGCCGCCCGTAGCATAGCTAGGATTACACCATGGTGCACGGGTAAAGTATAAAAGCAACAGGCCATGATTTCAGAAAGCACTCTCGCTTAAAAGTGACATTATATTGCAGCAGCTGTGTCTATCCTTGCATTCTGCCTCCCGTGAGCACACCATAGCACAAGGGAATGCACTAACAAGTGAACAGGCAGAATGCCCTTCCTCGGCGTCAATTCGGATAACGAATTAGCCTCACATCCAGTGCCAGCAAAATGCTAGCAGTTTCTGCACCATCAATGTGAGCTCATACCTGCGCCAAAATTGACCTCTGATAGGTGCCCACTGCGGCTCTATCCTGGGTAGCCCCTTCATTGCTCCACAGTCCGGAAGGGGGGCTTCCGATTTTCCTGATTCGCCTTTTTGCTCACAAAGCAGTCTGGTACTGTTGGGCTCAGTTTCGTTTTCCATATTCTTTGGCGCTTTGCATGCGCTTGCGCTCTGGTTTATATGACTCGACCTACCCCAACGACAGCAAATGTGCTGTTGAGGGGCTCTCTGGGGCTTGTTGAGAGCTTACCTCTGTGCCATTTATCGTTCATATGAGACTGTAGGTCACGACCAGTTGACACAGCGCGCACATCCACAAGCTCTAAATCCCTACTTGGCACTTTCTTTTCAGCCAAAGACGCAGGATGTGCGCTCTTTTGCTCGCGAAGCCTTAGGTAGGACATCGTTTTAAAAACCTCACGGGTCAGCTGTTTGCCTGCTGAGTCCCTGCCTAGCTTGCGGCCACCTGATGCGTCACCTAAAGTAGACTTAAGGATGACCACTGACAGCGCAGCCTTGAGCCTACATTGTGGCACCTGCCAAGACTGTTTCGTATTTCTTGAGATACCGAAATATGTGGAGATTCCTTCTTGTGGCATCCTGAGGTCTCCAAAAGCTCTCTGTTGAGCATATCTCGACATTAACCGATGCTTCAGGAAGTGTATGAAGGCCCGAACTGTAGTAGCCCCTGCTAGCAGATGAGCTCCTTTACAGCAATAAAGCCACCACAAAAGCACTCTATTCGTACGTTTGGCAAGGAACACTCACTTCTATTCACATGGAGAGGTTCAAAGAGAGATACACTTTTTACTGGCTAGTGAAATCTTCGAGTTCTTGCCCATCCTTACAGCCGCCATACTTTTGTGGTTAGCACAACCTCATCAATGCATCCACAAACATTTTATTGAGTGCCAAATTATGCCTGGTTAGCAGCTATGAAGCTACCGCGTTTACACCCGCTGGCAGGCGGGCCTCTGCCATGCCAACAGGCGTTGTGCTACCGTCAAGTTCCGTCGTCAAAGCTCGTTTCCCTCAGCCTGTTGCCAAAAGACAATAGATTATTGAGCTACCCAGTGGCCTAGTCGAAAATCATAAGAAACCTGACGATCCACCGCAGCCACAACTAGGGAAGGAAGGTGGAGCAGTTGCGTTGAAGCACGCGTTGCCACCAGCGCTCCATCTAAGGTCTCCGTAGGGTGGATCTTGACTACAGAGTCTACACAAACTGGCACAAAGTTATTGAGCGTTCTTCAAATGGACTCCCGCCCTCTATTGCCCAGGAACCCTTAGTGTCCGACAAGAAGAGAAAGGACAGGTAAGCTAAGCGTACCTGCATCCTTTGAACACTTGGAACAATCACAGATAGTGGACAGAGTATCTAGTACAGACACAAATAAGGGTGCTTTTTCTTGTTTCAGTCTGACAGTACTCTGCAATTTATAGGTAATAGAAACAGATAAGCCAATAAGTCAATTCCACGCTACTCGTTTGTTAAAGTGTAACAAATGTAATAGGAAGCATCTATGTTTCTGAGCCCGATGAACTAGCTGTCCCCTTTTCCTTATATTCGAATTCTGCAGATTGGGGGCAGGGAAAGTACGACGTCTTCTAGGGATGCAATAAACTCTACGAAGTTTGAATGGAGTCTGAAATTAAGTATTTCCCTACAGAAACCTCTAATGGGTAAAATGACTCTTAGGTGCCCTTCCAGAAGAGCTGCCGCCTCTTGTTCCCTGCCCTCACGCCTCGGAGTTTCTGCGCGAGGTGAGAGAGAGGGCCACTGCTAGGATACATGAGCATTCTGACCCCTCTACTTACTACTAGGATCCACGGTCAGTTGCGCATGGTAGAAAGCCGTAGCACAAGCATAGGCTGCCCCGATTATTATCGTATTAGGCGAATTTCACTCTGTGGAGAAACCCAACACCCACGTGGTTAAATAGAACAGGTGCAGTCGAGAGAGCCAAAGCGTAGCCTACCTACTCTGCCACACCGCTTGCCTAAGTCGTCTGCAGCGCCCCGGCAGAAAGGGAAGGTGTAAACACATCCCAGGCCCCTTCTAGACGCCTGAAGCGTTTAGGTACTCCGAAAAAACGCCCAGAGAAAGCTTCAAGTAGAGGCATGCCATCTGGGCAGCTATCGCCAATCGTCCCGCAAAGTCTGTTGAACCAGCACTGGTGCTAAAGGCCCTGATTCGAACTCATCGTTGTAGACAACATGAGTGCCGAGATTTTTTGTGCACCGCATGGCTCTCAATCTCGTGCTAGCGACTGAGCAGGACCAAGCGAGAGAGGGAGGGCAAGCGAAGGGGGAGAGGGCGCAGAAATGGAGGTGAAGCCGTCTTAAAGTCTTCTCTCAATTCATTTCAGAAAGCAGTCTTGCACAGGCTTGTTTTACGGGTTCCTGTCCGCCCCTGGAGGCCACTGTGACGACACGGTAGCGATCAGTTAAAAAAAACACCCGTCATGGGGATCATTGAGCGACTCCAGCGAAGCAGAAACACAAAAAACATCTGCTTCAAGCTTACATGGAAAACGTTCCACTGGAGTAAAAAGAAAAGAACGAAACAAGGCACGTGTTAAAGGCGCTCGTTCCGCGTATACAGACGCTCCCTTGGAGATCGGGTACGGCGTGCCACAGTGCCAGCTGCTCCCCCCACAGGGAAAGCCCCCAGCCACTTTGTTTGTTGCTCTGGCCTTCCCTTTCATCCTTATTATTTTGCCTTAAGGTATGTCCTTGGTAACGGAAAGGCCTTCGGATTTAGACTTACGGGGTGCAGGTTTTGGGGTTGAGGGTTGGGAGCCGTCTGGCGGTTCCTTGTGTTCTTGCACGTCCTCCGGCGCCTCCCTCTTATTGAGCCACTTTCATGCCTAATTTTGTGTCTCAATTCAGTTTGTTGTAGATCTAGGGCAGCACACAAGGCTTCTGGCTCGAGGTCTCAGGCTAGGAGGAGCTTGCGCCCTGCCGAATGCTGTTCCGTATCGCGCTTGTTCAAGCGGGAGTTGGCACTGCCTCTTTTTGAGAGGACGTACGAAGCCCATCCCTCTTTCGTCCACCGTATTGCAACAAAATTTGCTGTAACAGTCGGCGCTAGAGCCTCAGCACGGTCTGCGGAAAGATGGTGTCGGCATCCGCAAGCCTTGTCGTCCTCTTGCTGCCGCGGTTGGCAAGCGCATTTGGCGATTCTTTCTTTAATCATCCGTCTCCAGACATGTCTCAGCTACTGGTGCTGACGGTACGTGACTCGGCAGATGCTGCAGCAGGGAATTACGAGGGCTTTGATGATGACATCGACGACCCGGAGGATGGCCATGAAGAGAATTTCCCACCTGACCTGTATGCTGAAAGCGACAGGCTTTCCCCCCCAAAAGAAAAGCTGTTTGTGTCGGAGGAAGGAGCCTCGGGTAATGCCGTTTCGCAATCCTCACCGGAAGGCAGCGCTTCTTCGCCGAACGGCCCCAGGAGTTGTTTCCCATCAGAAAAGAGCGCCTCTGCCAACAGATCTCCTTCTATGGGAAATGTACAACCTCAAACACGAAGTGTAACTCCCCCATCTGATGTGAATTCCCAACGGCGGGGCGCTGATCCTTCCCAGAAGTCGCCGGTGGAAACAAAATCAGTTACTATAATGGCCTTTGACGAAGCAAAGGAAGCATTGTGTCACGCCACGAGTAACCCCGATGTACCATGGCATTTGCGAGCGCTTATTACCCTGACGAGAGGGGTAAAGAAGCCCGACGATTTCCTCCACTCTGCATATCTGTCGTCTTTGATGCAAGCCATGAGTTATGGTCTCGAATGCATGAAGGAGCTTCGCCTGCTTCGGCACATTGATAAGGGCAAAGCGAAGGCTCAAGACATCAAGGAGCTTGTGGCTCTGAAGGAGAGAGTCGTGTCGTGTGTCAACCCCGTGAGGGATCTCCTGGCGGAAGCCAAAACACAATTGGGCCCAGGCATGAAGGCTAGAGGGACCAAGGGCGGGTGGGATAAAGCGGCTGTGCTTCTAGATTCCCTTTGCGGGGCCGTTGTCGCGACGGAAAATAATTTCCTTACTTTGTTGTCCTTGATGGAAGCTCAACGCAACCCACAGACGCCGCAAGCGGTGATGCAGGCACTCCAAAAAGAGCGAGAAAAGGCCAAGGCGGAATACGAATGGGCGAAGGACAATATCAAAGGCTGTATGAGGGCGTTAAGAGGGAAAGGCATTCTTCCGCGCGCCTTTCCCATGTTGTAGGCTACAAAAAGTGCAAGGAATTACTTGAGCTATACCAGCTTTTGTCCCGCTAGGAAGGGCGGAGGGGCAGCAACAGCATCATGAAGACCAGTAGCAGGTCGGAAGAAACCTCAAGGAAAAAAGGCGCTCACCTTGTGGGGGCCTCTTCGTCCGCGGAGGCGCTTGTCATACTAAACCCGGTCCCGTTAGGGTGAATGATACACGGGGACAACATTTGTGTTGCTTGTATTTTGCCTGTCCTCCGTTTGAACGGGCGCGGTTGTTCGTTCTGTTGATACCTTCATATGGATGTGGAGAATAATGTTCGTACGAGGTACGCACATACTTTTATGGGAGGCAGTAGAGGTACATAATACGCCATCTGGCTACTAAGGATACCACCAGGGAAGACTAGGAGGCTCTCCGAGTGGAATGCGAGCCGCATGTCTATCTATGTAGACAAAGATCCTAACTGCCTTACTGCGGGGGAGCGTGCGGCACCGCGTACTGTCAGTCAGTGCATTGCATGAACTGTGCCTGAGCATCTGCACATGTATCTTTATTTATATATATATTCACTTATCCTTATTACGACATGTGAAGCGGCTGATCTGGGGGTCACCGTAGCTGCAGACCAGACCCCGCGAGACGATGGCCTTCCTGTAACGGAAAATCATCTTCATCCAGCTCGCTAGGACGGCCAGCTACCCGTTTGTTATATTACGCCTTTGTGCGGCAGTACAGCAAAATCTAGGACACCCCAGTTTGTTGAAGGTTTTGAAAGGCGCGGTGAAACTCCGTTTCTCAGAAGTTGAGGGACCGATAGATGGCCTGAGCAGACGTTTGGATGTATCGTAGACCCTGTCATGATGCCATTAGCAACAGCGAATCCTTCAATGGCCGTTTTGGACGATCCTGTTTCGCTGTCATTTCCTACCGTGGGCTTTCCTCTTTGGTGGCAACTTGTCACCTCGCGTTTTTCACGGATCCAGACGAGGTACTCGCAAGTTGTCCGAAACCGTTTGGTGGGGCTAGCTAGCCGCGCAATTTATATGTAGACCCCTCCTCTGGGCAGGAAGCATCAAGGGCTTGTGCTTGAGGTGTTGCTCGGAGGTACAGCGGCTATACACACCAACTCCTTAGGCGTAACACGCACACATGCGCTCTTTTGTGTGTGGGGGCCATGAGGTTTTGGGGTCGAGCGCAAGTAAACCTGCCGGCCGATGAGCTGGTGAAGAGTGCGAGACGAGACTTTCGCTGCGGAGCTGTCCGCCACTTTGACACCAATGAAACCCCTGAATCTTAGTGTAACGAACGGCTAAAATATACGAAACGTCCGAGAAGCTCAAAGGCGTAACAGACTGAATTCACCAAGCGTTTAGCAGCGGTGTAGGGGCGTCACGCCACCTGGAAGGGGGGCACGCGCGGTAAGAAGAGTTAGAGATTCTCTATAGGCGCAAGCCAAAGTACATAATTGCTCATTATAGGTCCTCGTACAAATTGATGGCGCGAAGTGACGCATGATATGCCCCCTCTTCCGGAGTGTATGCTCCATGGATCTATAGTGCTTGCTGCTGACTACGTCGAGAAAAATATAAATATATATATATATATGTGTATATATATAGCTGTCCAAAACAGCACAACAACTCGAATGAACAAGAAGTGGAGGGAAAGGACAGAGCACACGCATGCGAAAAGGAAGCAATGAGGGGGAAATCACGCATAGAGGAAGCCCACGACGAGCGCTCAATTACAAAAAAGAAGTTGAGGTTCCCCTTAGGACCATTACCATGCAAGCATGCTCTTGCTCCGGTTAATCGTACCCTAAAGATTTTAATGCTGCTGCCAGACAGCTAGTTGGCAGTAGTACACTGTGCACGTGTGTGCGCGTGTATGCGCGTGTGTGCGCGCGCTAAATGACTAGAAGAAAGACTTGGCGCAAGAAGAGGCGCCTGTTGCCAGTGTGAAGCGATGGCTAACACGGCCTTGGGTATTTCGAGACGGCAAGCGATCGAGCGGCCAAAGTTGTCGTTCGTTGTAGCCGTACGTGGCGCGAGCGGCACACCACGGCCCCGTGAAAGAAAAGCAATTAGATTATTTGGGAACATTCTGCGAGAGAGGGATGACCCTTTTTAGCACCAGGGTACTATGCTGACAAGAATAGTGTTGTTACAAGGAAACAGTGAAATCGTGGCAGGCGAAACACTGGAGGCGAGGGCAAGTAGGTAGACGGGAGGCGGAGGCATGGGGATGAGGGCCAGAAAAGCGCTCGCTCGGGAAGCCGAAAGAATTAGGGCACGAAAACACCTCCCCTCTGCTGCTCTCGCTTCTTCGCCTCCTTGACCCTTCGTTGAGCGCCTGCCTGTAAGCTGCCCACCTCTCACCAAGTCAACCTATTACCCACCCTCCACTGCAGCACTCTCAGACATTCCGTGTGCTCCAGCTCCTCTGGTTGCAAATACAAAAGGACAAGTGCCTGCCGGTTTGCCATCGCCCTCCTCTGCCTCACCTCCTCCGCCGTCCTCTTCTTCCAATTCTGTCAGGAGTCCGCTACGCTGAAGCAAGCTGCACATGCTGGCTTGAGAGCGCCTCGAGGGCACAGCGGGAGCGAGAAGCGGCAGTAATCTCTGTTTGTAGGGGGTAGACTTCGGCTCCCGTAAAGGACTAGACGGCGTTCCTGTCGTACTGCTGCTGCCGCTCTCACAAGTCTCCACAAAGCTGCAGCAACGCAAGGCGCCTTCCACTTGACGGGGAGGGGTGGAGCACGCCACCGTTGCAAAGGACAGTCCGCAAGGCAGATGCAATTTCGGAGGCTCACACGGCACGCCATAGCAATATCCGCCACTCTTCACACTTCCTGGTTTGACTGCTGCTCCCGCAGCTGCCGGCGTTGCTGGTACCGGCGAACACGGGGGATCCCGAAGATAGAGAGGCGTGATACTTGTAGCGACGGGAAGAGAGACGCTCAGAAAGTGCCCGCTTTCTTTTTCAGCAGAAGGCAGCTTGTGATCATCGATGTCCACCTGCTCGTGCTGGAGCTGCTGCTGGTGCTCTGGCTGCTGAAGACCGTCCGATCCGTGTTTCCCCGGTGTGTATAGATGATCATCTGAGCTCTCGGGAGACAATACGTATAGAGTCCCTTCGCTGCCTTGATGTTGGCAGTCAAATTCTTGAGGCTGTGGCTGCGGCTGGGGTTGCTGGGAAGCGACGGAGGCAGCGGCGGCGGCGGCGCCAGAAGAAGCCACAGCGTCACTCAGAGTGAAGGTTTCTTGGTTGCGCGTGCTGATGGGAGGGTGCCTACCATGGGATTGAACTTGGTGCTGCTCGTGCTGCTGATCGGGCTGCTCATTCTGCATGTTTTGAAGTTCCCACTCCCTTGCGAGTTCGTCTAGCTTTGCTTGTACGGAGGCTGGGGTCTCCACCATTTCAATGCGGTACACCATCGCTGCAACTTTTGCTGCTTCCGTACCTCCCAAATGTTTCGGTGAAAAGCTCTTTGTCCTCCTCCTACCGTCCTGCGTAAACTGCACTCTCCACAGACCTTTCTGGTAGTCGTAATACACCCCCTCACAGCCGCTCTTCCACCGAGAAGAAAAAAGCGGCTCGGTGCCCTTAACGCTCAGATACGAGAACTTGAGCGAGAGGCGTAAACCTGCATTTGGCTGTTCCCGCCAGCTCGAGCCGCAGGGTATCCCCGCAGCGCTGCCTGCTGTCTGTAAGCCTCCAGAAGCGCTTGCAGGCGATTGAGGCGATGCAAAGGATGACGCTGCCTTCACACAGGCTGTCTCCCCAGATGAAGGGGCAGCAGACGGCCGCTGGTCGTGCGCTTCAGCACCTGAAGCAACAGCAGGAATTTTCGAAAGAGGACTACCAGGGGTATTCCATGACGGCGAATTTCCAAGAACGCTTTGCGTCATAGCTCGACTTCCCATATCTCCTGGACCGCCTAATGCAGAAAGACGCTCCTGCTGCAACTCTTGCATTCGCCGCAACTGTACTATCTGGTGCTGCTGGCTCTGTGCGTTTGCCGCCGCCTTGACACTGCCGCCTGCCTTTCCGCGATGCCGCCGTGCAGCGGCAGCAGGAGCTCCGCGGTCCATACACCTGGCCCCAGCAGCAGCAGCGCCTGCTGAAATTGCTGCCGTCGGTGCAGCAGACTGCGACCAATTTCGCGTATGCTGCTGCCGAGAGCCCTTAGAACGTGGCAACGAGGCGTTTACACTGGCCCCCCCTGCTACTGAGGGGTAGATCCACAGCTGATAATCCGATCCAGCTTGGTGCTGTAACAGCATCTGCTGAGAATTCTGCGGCTGTAAGGACTGGTGATTCTGCGGCTGTAAGGACTGGTGATTCTGCAGCTGTAAGGACTGGCGATTCTGCGGCTGTAAAGGCTGGTGATTCTGCGGCTGCATCTTTGGAGATGACACCGCTGCAGCCAATGCGTTGCTGCTAGAAAACTGCTGCTGTGGGCTGCGACTAGATTCCCAAAAGGAAGAGTGCTGCTGCTGCCTCGCCGATAGTGCTGCCGTAGAGGCGTTGGTAGCACCGGCCACACAGCTCTGCTCCTTGCTGTACGGTTGCTGCTGTTGCTGTTGCTGTTGTTGCTGTTGTTGTTGCTGCTGCTCCTCCTCCTCGCTGTACGCTTGCTGCTGCAGCTCTTGTTGCTGCAGCTCTTGTTGCGGCTGTTGTTGTTGCGGCTGTTGTTGTTGTTGCTGGTGCAGTTCCCACTTTGTCCATAAGGGCTGCTGCTGCTGCTGCTGCTGCTGCTGTTGCTGCTGCACAGTGCCCGTCCAAAGAGACGCCCAAGAGGAGCCTTGCAGTGGCAACGGGAGAGTTTGAGTTTGCATTGGGAAGCAGGCAGTGTTTGAGTAAGAGTTTTCGCGGCTCTCGGAGGTTCCAAGCAGCGCCGGCTGCTGCTGCCGCGTTGCTGCTCTGCAGCACAAAGGCCGCTGCTGCTGCTGCTGCTCCTGCTGCTGCGGCTGCCGCTGCTGCTGAGCCGAGGAGGGCTGGCTTTCGTA